AATAATGGAGAGTTTGAACAAAAGATTTACGTTACAGGTGTATTTTAACACAAAGTCAAATTTTTGATGACCTGAAACAAGAAAATTTTATTTACGATTCAAATTTTTTTCCAGAAAAAAAGCTCTGTTTTTTGAGACTATGTAAACGATCGTTGAATTGAGCATAGGGAATTGTAGTGTATATTAAGGCGACAGAAGTTTATCGATGTTCAAATCTTGTAAATCGATTAAAAGGAGACAAATCAAGGTTGTAAAAAACTGAGGGAATCGCATGATATCCTAACGGAGGAGACCGGATGCAACGACAGGATAAGCGTCTCCAGCTATGCTTGCAGCATCCGTAATGCAAATTCACAATCGGGAAAAGGTCACAATCGGTTAAGTAACATATCAGACGACTACACTTTGAAAATTCTACGGAAACCATAGCAGAATAGTTAATCAAACAGTGTGTTAAATTCTGAAATCTCTAGTTATAATTATATTGTATCATAACAACCACGTATATCCACTATTGTCTATTATATATTATTATTTGTTACATTATTACATCTTTCATTATTAATGGTAACATTATAAGTTATCTACGTTCATATCCGTAGATATGGATATTTTAATACCCTGAAGTATCGAAGTACACCCTGAGGCGAAGCCGAAGGGTGTACAGGGTACTGAAGGGTGTTAAAATATGCATATCTACAGATATGAACGTAGATAACGAATTTATCCCGGTCTTAGTCCAAATCTGTCGATTTTTAGAAAAATTCGACCACAAAGTGTAACGTGAAAGCAACGTTTTTTTCATTTTCTAAAAATCTTTTATTGAAATTTGGGAATTTGACATATCTTTTACGGGGTGTAGGGTACTACCTTTGGTAGTCAAATATAAGACGTTTTTAATACGGAGACAGAGAAACTGGAGTGGGTCGAATTTGGCGCTCAATGTTGTGAGAGTTACATCATAGACGGTGTGACGTCAACGTGGGTCATTTGCATAGCTAGGTCAGTAGTCCCATTCATAGACAATGTGGCAGCCAAGTGATGCATTTACTAAAATGAGTGCAAATGATCGACAAAATAAGATAACATCGTTAGTGGATTACATATTTAATTACAGACATCATGAATAATCTACAGAATTCTATATTTCACAAGGAACAACCATGGAACTAAGGAAAACGCGCGTGACGTCCCCCGGAGTAATGGATAGCAACGTCCGGGTATATGGGTTAGCAACACCCAGGGGCTATGGGTTTTGTAACGACGTGCGTTATCCAATCAAAATCCTAGAAATATACTAAGCCGGGGATAATATTATATCTTACATTACTATTGGTTCGAATAAAGCGTAGAAAAATTAAAAGTGTTCATATCACTGCAACGGTGTCAAAATGGTGGTAAAAGATTTATGAGATCTTTAGACCACCCCCAGTTTTTAGTAGGGTTCGTGTTGTGTTTTGTATATTTTTTTTTTGTCTTTTCGTCTGTTTAGTTTTTTGCCTTAGCATTGTCAATTGTGTTCGACTATCGAGTTTGACTGTCCTTTATGTATTTTTTGCCTTTCTTTTAGACCTTTTAGAAAAAAATTACCAATAAAATACCGAACTCCAATCTAAATTAAAAAAGGGGGGAGTCCATAAAACTAGTCAAAACAAAATGCTCGACTATATCAACTAATGGATTTAATGGGAAACAACCGTCATATTCTTGGCTTGATACAGGAATTTTCCGAAGAAAATGGTGGGTTAAACCTGGTTTTATAGCTTATTAAACCTTCCACTTTTATGACAGTTGTTTATATTTTATTTGTATTGACAAAATTGTGTGAGCAATCCAAACAGACATAATTGGTTAATGACAATAATTGGGATCCAGCAGCAAAAATTGTGTAAACATACATCATAGATATTCACACTCAAATGACTTAAAAAAAGTCCAAACAAATATACTTACAAATCTGACAAAGACGCAATAAAAAAAAGATTTTGTAGTTGATAATACAGTAAAATGACAATTCACTTTCCCAATAAAGTACAAATTAAAATATAAATACAAGGGTATACAAAATGAAACTAACACTATATAAAAACTCATGCGTCCCAATCGCGTCTCTGGACCCATCCGCATCAGGAACGCTCAAAGACAAAAACCCGAAGGTTAATGCACAAATAACAATCCACGTCAAGAGTCGTATTACAAAAAAGAACGTCAATAGTACGAAGACAAATAAAGGAAAAAAACCTTCAAGTGAATAAAAGATACACAATGTTTAACACGGACCTATTATCTACAACTCAAGACCATCTTGTATTATTTGGGAAGTTGACACTGAATATTCATTTATTAGGGCTTGGAACATTCCTATAAATGTTTTAAGAAAAAGGACGAAATGAAAAACCTTGGCTCATTAATTTTTTACTCAGACACCGATGACGTTTTACGAAAAGTCTGAGTAGCAGCTGCAAGCTCTTGACTATCGTATGAGATGAGAAATACATACTCCATATGCGGGTGCAGTTGGTATGTTGCTTCTAAGGTAAAGAAAATTTATAATTTCAAAATTGAAATCGTCTCGTTTGCCATAAACTCTGGTACTGATTTGACCATCGGAGTCAAATTCGAGGTTTATGTCTAAAATGAGGCGGATGAAGCTGAGTCTGTGGTTACTTTGATTTCTAGTTCAGGCGGACATATTAAAGGGACCTAATTAGAAAAGTTTGGAATGTTAATGGAGAGAACGAACATCATCAATATACCTGTATGTGAAATAAATGATCTAGCTTCCTTGATCTGGCTGCTTTTTATAAGTGAAAGAACTCCGACTTATATGAAAATATACATTGGATTTTAACTCAACAACAAAATACTAGGCTTATAATTTGGTATGCCATTAATGCAATTGTCAGTTTCAATCGAATCAAAACATTAGGAAACCAAATCAATTAAAAGTTGAAGATCGCTGAAAAAACGGTGTTGTTTGTTTTGTTACAAAATTCCTTTTTAGGGACACTGTAACTAACAAAATAAACATGCTATATATTCTCATTATTGTTGACATTACGATGTCATTTGGTTGTTTTTGTCATTAGGTTGGTGTCTCTGTATTTAAGCAAACGTAACTGCAGTGGATCCGAAAGTCCCTATAAGCTATACCATAACTCTATATCCATTAAAGTCACTAACTTCTTGAAATGATTGCAATTACAACATGTTTATTACTGATGTGACAATGCGAATGTTGAAAAGAAACACAGTTATCTAATTAATTAACAATGAAAATAGCTGCGATTTTGCCGACGTCTTCTAATATTTATGATAATGACAATAATGATATAAATAAAATTCGTAACCAGACAGCTTCAAGCATATACATATTTTGGAAAAAAGGTTAGATATTTCAATTTATCACTAAAATTATAACAGTGATCTTAAAGCAAAATTTAACCAAACATATTCCCGGTGAAAAAGATTTGAAAATGTCCCAGGTTACACATACACATAATTATGACGTGAAGTAACTCTCTTACACATTAAGAAGATAATTTCTTATATTGATTAAAAAGCCAAGTACATAAATCTTAAAGAGATCATCAAAGCCAACAAGGCTAGAACCTAACAGACCAATCCGACTTACATCCACTTAGCCAGTGGGAGGTAAATTAGGAAAGCCAAGTACATAAATCTTAAAGAGATCATTAAAGCCAACAAGGCTTTAACCTAACAGACTAATCCGACTTAAATCCACTTAGCATGTGGGAGGTAAATGAGGAAAGCCAAATACATTAATTTTTAGAGAACATCAAAGCCAACAAGACCTTAACCTAACTGACCAGTCCGACTTAAATCCACTTAGCATGTGGGAGGTAAATGAGGAAAGCCAACTACATAAATCTTAATATATCATTAAAGCAAACAAGACCTTAACCTAACAGACCAATCCGACAATCCAAGGTAAGTGATGAAAGCACATTTTTTGTGTGTTTTGTTGTGCATGTACTAATTTTGTGTCATGGATGGATACCCCATTTTCTTTCTTTTCTATTAGAGTTATCTTTACGAAGATAAGAAATAATGATACTCAGGAAATCCCATTCTATCGAACACTTGGTAGATGTGGCATTTATCCTTCTTAGAATTTTCAGATACTGAATTAATAAAAACAAAAATTGATCGTTTGACAAAGCGGATTTTTCGTATTAATAAGAATTTGTAATTATATACATAATAAACCTAGTGACAAAGGTCAAAATATATGTTGCTATGGTCAAACTATGCACATAAAGGCTCGACAATCATCTGTTGTATATTTTATGAACTTGTTTTCACATTCATTTTCCACTTAATTTATATTGTAAATCATTATGACACTTGTTTGCGACCACAATATTTAAGTCCTTTGTTGACATATGGCTTTGAACTCACTATCATATGTTTTTTTCTTAAAATGGCTTAAGAAAATTCAAGGATCTATTGTTGTTTCCGTCCATTTTTGTATGTTGCTTTTTCTATCTGAAATTGAAACACTAAACATCAAAATATCAATATTTTCTATCAATCTTGAAGGATGACATTGACAAGTCTAATTATTCAAAACTCTAGTCTGGAATGTATATTTTCTTATAGGAGAAATGCAAATAAATAAGACTTAAGTCTTTTATACTGTATTAATCGGCTGTTAAACTTAAGTTTGTTTTATTGCTCAAATTTTATCCCTATTCGTCCATTTGCAACAAGAATTATGTACGTAACAAAGACGCACACGTGAACTTACAACAAAAAGACGTTTCTTCGCTGTTTGAACCTTCATTTTGAACGGATTAGGTGACTCTTTCATGTTGTTTTCGAAATTTAAGAATAATGATGTAATTGGTTCATTTCTGTGTTTAAACCTGTTGTTTTACAAGAGTATTACCGTGTTTGCATACTTTGGCTTAATGGAAAATGAATATCTATGAGAAATAAAAAGACAAAAACCTAGAAACGAAGTTTTCATTGAACACAGCAATATAGTTTTGTACTTTTATATTAAAATAATTTAGTTGAAATTTGTAGAATCTTTATTCTAACAAATAGTGCACTTTACTTAAGGATTAGTTTTATCAGCTGTGATTTTAGCTTAAAAGGTAAGTTTGACATAAACAAAATCCAACCTGAGTGTTTTTGCAACAAATGATGTTATCACCATTAACTCCTGAAATTTATTACAAGACAATTTGTCAAACGAATTCATTTATTGTCATATAATAAATCAGCAAAACACAAAGTATAAACCTAAAAAGTCTCAGTTTCTATCTTTTTTTTAAAGTTTCATAGCAATTAAGCAGAAAACAAATAAACTTCACTTCTATGTAATATTAACCGTAAGAATGGTAGAACCAGCGAAAACATCAATTCTCCATAAAAGTAAAAAACAACTAAGCCAATACATTACAGATCATATATTTTTCATCTTCTTGATGTTAGAACAGTTAGTTATACGCTATTGTGCATCAAATGTTCATTGTTAGAAGAGAAGCTATTGATAATGTTATTTTCAATTGAGAAATGACAAAGTTTACGTATTCCTCCATATCTATTTTGACGTTATTGTATTGTTCACTCCGTCTATTCGGTTAATCTGAATTATCTAATTCTGTGGAGTATGATATTTTTGCATTGTGTCGTACGTTTGACATATGCGTTTATATGATTCATATTAACCTATTTGACAATAAAGTTAACACAAATTCTTAAGGATTAGATAATGTTCTGTTTTGTCTAATTTTAGTAGAATTTACCTTCATATTTATTCGACGTTTCTGTATTTTTCAGTACGCCAATAAAAACTCACAAAAGGTACGATTAATCTGGATTGCCCATTATTGTGAAGTATGACAGATTTTTTTGTTGTACTGTACGTTTGAAATATATGTTTATATATAAGATCATATTGACCTGATTGACATTGCAATCAACCAAGTTTCTTAAGGATTAGACAATTTTCGGATTTTTGTGATTTAAGTAAAAAAATATAACAGCCACAAGGATACATGTACCCGTCCTTAAGAATAGTCAAACTGAAATATACAAAAAACAACAACAAAACTTATCAGAGAGAAGGAAACCAAATAAACGGCCATTCCTAAATTCATTGACAATCTGTCTTTCAATAATGAGATTTAAATGTGTTTTTTCTCAATCTCCAATGTTTGTTGTTTTTTAGCTTTGAAAATTTAGCTAACAACTAAGCTGTATAAACCCTTTTAATCAAAGAAATGGCCATTATATGTAAATCATAGAGATAATTATCAAAATATATGTATGTATTTGCTGTCTTGGGTGTTTATACTCTTTGAAAGAACAAGTACACTATTTTTCAGCATGAAACGCAACACCGTAATTTTGGTTTTTGGAGTTGGGTGTATTCTGTCACTAGTTAGAGGTCTAATTAGTCCTGGAGACTTACCAGACGGTCTGAAAAAATGTTTCGAAATGAAGACTAAACATAGTAATGTTAAAGAGGTTCCAAGTGAAGATATCTGTATAACATGTATAACAGACTATCTATGGAAACAGGGAAAACACGTTCATTGCTTCAATAAAACAGAGCATGATGTAAAATGGGTTGCTGAATTATTGACAGAACTTCATCCTGCTTCAACTAGAACTAAACGAAGTGCTCCAAGACGATGTCGAAGGAAAGAATACCGAATGTTGACAGACGATGAAAGAGAAGATTACCATCGTGCTGTAAATCTAATGAAGAAAGATACGGTAGGATAACAATATGATAAAACTACATGGCTAAATGTCCGAGGTCACATTTTAGTTGCCGATAATAGACGAGAGAACTAATGTTTTCAAATAAAACTAAAGGCAACACTATTATATTGTTGTCTCCGGTCTTAAAATATTTAAAACGTAACACATATTTGATGTAGTTTCACTGCATGTTTTGTACCCTGTTAATTTGATTTCAATGATACTACTTTTTGCATTTTTTTGTTTACAGAGTTCTTTTGATACTAAGTTGTAAGCCCAGTATTATTGATACGTATTTATCATATCTTTACAAATCTTAATTATTTTATCGTTTTTCGTTTGTTGCCATGGCATTGTCAGTTTGTTTTCAACTTTTGAGTTTGAATATCCCTTTGGTATTATTCGCCTCTCTTTTATAACCATCACTTTCCACATGTTGAAAAATCAACCCGAAATAAAACATCATGTCTTTTGTATTAATTAAGGACGGCGAATTTTGCGAATAAATAATAATTTCTGTGTTAAGATTTGATATGATAAATATAGATTCTACCACTGCATCGAGTGTGATACGATATTTATCAAATTTAAAACGCGAGGCTCGCCGAGCGTTTTAAATATTTAAAATTTAACTGTCGAGAGTGGATAAATATCGTATTACACGAGATTTGGTGGTGGAATCTGTTTCTCTAATGATTTTCAAATAATACGCAGGCAAATTTATTCCTTCTATTCGAATGATCTGCAAAAAGATGTGTTCTTTCTATGTGACGTCATCAGGCATTGTCGCCTTTTTTCATGCCGTCACAATAGGAAATTCAGAGGAAAGCAAGAAAATTCGACGTCATAATCGGATTCTAACCAACGAAGAACTGAGATCAAACGAACTACACGTTGATTAAATTTTTTTAGACAATGGGTCCAGAAAGGGATAAATTGACGAAGAATTAGAGAAAGGTTGATAAACACTTACTAGTAGATCTGTGATATTTGCAATAAATTGGCTGAAAGATAGTTGATGTGTATTATTTGAAATGCAGCACAATTTCCCTTGTGTTCATTTCCCTGGTAGGATGTTTAAAACAAGATCTTTAGACCATTTAGTTCTGATAACAGTAACATCTTTTAAATAAAATTTAGATAAAATGACAAATGTTCATCAACGTCTAAAATGTAATTGTAATCAATTTTAGAAATGTTTGAGTATTTATCTTTAATATATAGAAAGGACTTTTCAAACTAATATGAAAATTCAATCGAACTTTTTGAAGAAATGTAAACCTTTATACTGTCATGTTGACAAATATCAATTTTTCTAAAAATCAAATACAAAATACCAGACGCGCGTTTCGTTTTCAAAAGACACATCAGTGGCACTCGAATCAAAACCAGTGCACGGCTCAATGAATAGAGATTAATGAGTATTGAAAGCAAACAAAAAATCCATAATGTTATGCCGCCTTGTTAAAAGGTAAAATAACAAAATACCAAACTCCAAAGGAAATTCAACACGGAAAGTCCTTTATAAAATGGCAAAATCAAAAGCTCAAACACATCTAACGAATGGAAATCAACTGTCATATTCCTGACTTGGTACAGGCATTTCTATACCTAGAAGTGTTTCGAATAATCTTAATATTTTTCGAGCTGTAAACTAACAGAAATTTCCGTATCAGTGATATTTTATGTCAGCCCAGAAGTGTTGACTACTTGGATGGTGATGCCCTCGTTAAGAAACGTCAACCAAAAATTGAAATTGTCTGCATAAGCATTACCAGTTAAGAATGATCGATTTATGGGATGTTTGCAAAATGTTGAAAACAAAATAAAGTATATTATTTATTTTCTGTAACATTCTGATTTTATTAGAATTTACATTAACATTCAAATACCACTCGGAATTTTATGTCCTCAATGCTCTTCAACTTCGTACTTTATTTGGTCTTTTTAACTTTTGTAGACAAAACGCGCGTCTACTGTACACATTTTTATTCCTAGTATCTATGATGAGTTAATTGATATTTCTGGTAAAATAAAATGCACAAGAATGTTACTTTGATTCTTGCAAACACATATGTATTCGTTTCCGAGCAATATCGGTGTCATAAATTCCAGCATTAGTTAAATATGGATCACACATAAGAGCAATCGGTAGAATTTCTGTAGGAAATTTATTTTACTGTTGATTTGTATCAATGCTGCAGAAAATATGCGTTAACCCTGCGCCCAAAGACAGAGAACCCAAAAGAATTGATTTTTAACACAAATAAAAATCCCCAAAATAAGACTGTTTACTATGGCTATTTATATATGAACCTCTTACTATAGAATCGGAAATGATTTTAAAAGATATTTAATTTGGATAATTATATCTCACTGCCCACATATAGTTTTAGGATTTAAATACACTTGCCATGCATTTGTATATGTCCTTCGAAGATGTCAAATGACATTTTTGTAGCTTTTTCGCTTACTTGCAATGATTGATTATTTGCTTGTTTGCTTGCTGTTCAGAGGCAATTTTATCAAGGATGTGCAGTATAATAATAGAATTTTTGACATTTTCTGTAAAAATCAGAACATCAATATTATAACATCAATTTCTACAAGTAAACATTATTTAGATTTCACTGATACATCTGCTCTTTTATTTACTGTTTATCACAAACCGAGTAAAGTATTGCATTCTTTAACAAAGGAACAAATGGATAAGACAATGATTGGCGTTCATGCCTTTCCTTCATGTGAATTCTCTTATAGTACTGCTACAGACCTCGAAAAAGACGCTTAATTAACGAGTTTAATGTACCGGAATAACACACGGCTGAAAATTGTTTTGAATGATAGAATAATATCTATATTTAAATTTTCGTTTGGTCGTTAAAATTTTCTTTGGTCACAATTTTGTATTTTAGCCTGTTTATGGGGGTATCCCTCAATTTATGGTTTTGGGTAGTCACTGAAATTAAAAAAAATAATGTTTTATACAATTTTATACTCTGTTCGTAAATATTTTCGATGCACATATCAGCAAGGGTCATCGGAAAGATGAAAACATAATTAATTAACCATTCTCGAATAAAAGTTCAAAACTTAAAGTTGGCAGGTTTTTAGCTGGAAATTTAATGCAGTTTTCTTTTGTTGAGAAAACATATGATTCAAAAACATTGTTTTATATTTGAGTGGAAAGAATATATTATTGAGATACTGCTAGAAAATTTTGATGGACAAACTGCAAATAGTTTTGTTAAAAATCAAGAAATAAAAACATCACTTTTACCTTTTTTTTACTACGGAAATTTCATGAATCATTAGATATGTATGAGTTATTTTGGTGTGCTTTGATCACATATTGTTGTTCTTTTTCTGTAAATTAGTTATATGTTGATGCTTACATATTGACTCTTTATAATAGTTAACCGAATCCTTTGGATAAGAATTGTTTCCGAATAATGGCCAGTTTTGATAGTCCTGTAAAGTTTACTCCTACTATTCCAAAAAGGAGAACGAATGAGGTTGAGTTGGAAAAATGCATTGTGTGTCAATGTTTGTCACAAGAGCAATTAATATGCATGCGAGCGGTCGGGGAAAAATATTATTGAAGCATGGATGTTCGCCGAGTTTAATGCAGAAATGAGATTAAAACTTAAATTACTGCTCCAGAAAAATCCTCTCATAATGAAATTAGACCAACTGCCTTACGACCCGATGAAGAGTATGTAAAACTTAATATAGACCATGCTCACCAACGACTGACAAATTCTTTTGATGTAAAGCCTCATCTCAAGTCACTGATCAACATCTCAACTGGAATGCACGCGCCTAAAGAAATTGGATCCTCAATGACAAAAGCATTTGATGATGGTATACAAATTGCCAAATCGTTGTCAATGGTGCGTTGGAAGAAGGTGATAACTGTGACTTCTATGGCCCAATGCCTAGATCAAAAATCAAAACCTTCGAAGACTTAACGAAAAAGTATAAATTCAAGTGTAGACCAGGAGAGATACTAAATGTACATATTAGTCCAGAACAGATAATACGTCGTGCTCTAGTTATTGCTGGTGTCATGAAGACATTGCAAGGGAGAAGGGTTATCACTCTCAAACGGATCTATTCCTACCTCTCTTTTCCACGAGAATGGTACCATGCTGAAACATGTAAGGCCGATCTTTGTCATAAAATAGAAGCAAAAGTTGCATCTCAGCATCAGTTGGCACCGTGTGATCGATCCGCTATCGTACTTATAAGGAACGAAATGGCCTTAGTACAATTGTTAAATGTTAAGATATCAATATTTAACACTTTCGGGTACTTGGCTCTACATTTCATTCAAAATCAGATATCATGCATTTCTGATGCTTGTACAATTGTTGTTGTCTTTGATAGATCAAACATCCAACTTTCTATTACTAGTAAATCGGTCAAAGGAGACCAACGAACTAATGTAAAAATTTAAACCAAAATGTTATTTAGGTAATAGATGGTCGATCCATACCAGACTGGAAAATTCTTTTGAGCTTCAGCATGCCCAGTCCCCTGGGTTGACTTCGCATAAGCTTAAACTCTTTCTAGTGGGTAATTTTGTTGACCCGATTGTTGTGAAGAAGTTCTCTTCAGCAAAGGTAACTGACGTCCAGGAAGAGGCAAATACCGAATGATCCTGCATGTCATGTTTGGTGACAAAGAGGTTGGAAGGAAAAACAAGAAGGGTCGAATAGGTAAAAAGTCTCCAGTTACAGATGTTCCATTCTTTGTGTGCATTTAATCGAATTCTCGTCAATGCAAAACAGCCAGGAACTGTAGTTTCATAGATTACCTTAGCTGTATTTAGGAAAACTCATAGATTACCCTAGCTGTATTTGGGAAAAACTATCAGAATATTTGGTCCTCAATGCTCTTCAACTTCGTTCTTTATTATGTCTTTTAAATCTTTTTTTATTCGAGCATCACTAACGAGTTTTTTGTTAACAAAACGCACGTCTGACGTACAGAATTTTAAACTTTGATGAGTTTATTCAAACTGGGACAATAACCAGCAATAAATATAGTCCTCCCTGCAATGTCTTCAGATAACTTGCAAGATTTACTTTGAACCTGTAAATCTGTTCTGCACCGAACAATGTCAAGGCAGTGATGCGTGCTAATTCACTTACCGGATTCGCAAACAATGACGAAGAGATTGACGTGACACTAAGATTTTTATATATAATTTCCCAGTGGGAATAATTTTTTTACTGTTTACCCCTATTTGATGAAGACCAGAACTA